TGTGCAATGCCCTTGGAGTGTTGGGCCCCCAACCCCAGTCTGGGGTACCCAACGTCCACGGAAGGTCGCACCCCAATAACTCAGTCCTCAGACCAGGAGATGTAACAAGCAAGAGGATTTAATCGTTTGTGCAGACGGGCTCCTGCCTCACTCAGAGAGAGAGAGAGCAGCAGCCCAGAGTTCAGCTTACAGGTTTCTTTTAAAGGCAAAAACCACAAGCCACAAGCGGCAGAAGTGGGAGGGGGTTGCAAGGACAGTGGGGTCACACTGATCCTTATTAAATGCAGCAATAAGCAAGTTTAAAGAAGTAGAAGTGGGAGGGGGAAGTTTCGGGTGATTTTCATCTTGTGCACGGAGCATGAAAAGGTCCGCTCTTTCTCAGCAGTTAAAATTATTTACATCTTACTTCCTTGTACAGTTTTCCAGAATATTTTTCTTTTGGTCTGGGGGGACTTGGTTTGATTCCATCACTACCTTGTCCTCTACCCCTTGAGGTCAGTGTGGAGACACCAACTATGCATCAGAAGACCCCACTGTCAGTGAGTACCAATGTGATGATGGCAACAAGGATGATCAAGGCTACAGAGATGAGGATGATAGCGACTAATTCCCAGTCGGAGTCGTCTAATTCTCAGTCGGAGTGGTTTATGTGTTCAGGACTTCGAGGGTTGTGGGTGTAGTCAGGAGAACTGTGTAGGGTCTTTTCTATCATGGTTTAAGAGTCTTGTTTTTAAGCTGGGGTTATCAAAGAAAAAGGGTAAGGGGGACAAAGTTACATTGAGAACAGGAGGTGGTCCTTCAAAAAGAATTTCGTAGGGGGTTAGACCGTGTATAGCAGGAGTATTTCTAGCTCGAAATAGAGCTAGAGGTAGGAGCTGCACCCAGTCTTTAGTGCCAGTCTCTAAAGCTAATTTGGTTAAGGTTTTTTTAATAGTTTTATTTATTTATTTTTACCTGTCTTGAACTCTGGGGTCTGTAGGCACAATGTAATTTTTAATTAATCCCTAGTGCTTTGGCCATTCCCTGACTTACCTGGGAGACGAAGGCTGGGCCATTATCAGACCCAATTACCTTAGGCAGTCTAAATCGAGGGAAAATGTCTTTCCGGGGGGGTTGGTAGCAGCATGGCGGGGCTACCAAACTTGATCTTTATTTATATATAGGATGAAAGGTTTCGTCAGATCTGGCAGTCTTAACGCTGGAGCCATCAGCAGCGCTCTTTTTATTTTGTTGAAAGCTCTCTGGTGTTCTGCTGTAGGCAGATCTGGGCTTTCTTTGCCGAGGCTTGGTATCCAAGTTCCCCCAGTCTCAATAGGAGAGCCTCC